TTGGTCGTCGCCTTGGCGTCCGTGTCGTCGCTCTTCCTGTTCTCGGTGCTGGTGTTCGTGGCGGTGCGGCTGTGCAGGCGGAGCCGGGCGGCGTCTGCGGGTCGCTGCTCGGGGCCTGAGGGCCACTTTCCGGGCCACCTGGTGGACGTCAGCGGCGCGGGGACGCTGTCCCAGAGCTACCAGTACGAGGTGTGTCTGACGGGAGGCTCGGGGACTAGAGAGTTCAAGTTCTTGAAGCCGATTATCCCGAACTTCCCTCCCCAGGGCATTGGAAAGGAAATGGAGGAAAACGCCACCTTCCGGAATAGCTTTGGATTCAATTAGGGATCTGATCACAATGCCGTGAGTTTTGTCATTTATCTCTAATTTCCCCAAATACCGAGTTTGAGAGCGTCATGGAAAAAAATCCCACCTTCAGGTATGATTTCCCTGAATTTATCCTTTTCAACTTTATCTTGCCCAATTTTGGGAAAACTGAATTCTCTGTCACTGCATGTATGTATACACAGTGCCATCCCAAATCTATGCATGCTGTTGACTTTCCTAAAATGTTTGCTTTTGATGGTATTTGTCAGGATAAGCTGTCTTAATGAAATCAAATACTGTTTTTCTCTGTATTCTGTCCATTCTGTTTCATCACACTGTTTTTGATGCTAAATAGCAAAAATAAGGTTTTACATAATTTTATTTTGTTTTCAAAGGAATACATGCAAATGATAATGAATGTAATATGTGAGAAAACTTGACAAAAAGCAACAACAATGTTCTAACTACTCTTCTTTCCTAGCTTTCATCCATACTGGCAAACATTTTTTAAACAATTTTTATTGAATTATACATACAAGAAAAGGGAACGAATCATAATTGCAATGTGTTTTCAGAAAGTTAACATACTTGGTACCAGCATCTTGGTGGTTAGTAATGAAACGTTACTAACATTTCACGTGCCACACAAATTACCCCTTAAAGTCACTACCAGCCCAAGTATAACAATATCCTGACTTCCAATACTATGATTTACTTTTGCCTGTTTTGAATTTATATAATTGGAATAGTAGAGTATGAACTGCTTTGTGTCTGGCTGATTTCACTCAACATTATGTTTATGATATTTGTCCATGACAATGCTTTTAATTTTAGTTTTTCATTCTCATCGCTGTAGAGTATTCCACTGTATGAATATTTTACAATTTATGACCCATCCCACTATAGACGGATATTTGGGTTGGTGCACAGTTTGCCTGTTTGAATAGTACTACTTTGAACATTCTCATACACGTCCTTTGGCAAACATGTATATGCATTTCTGTTGGTATATACCTAGGGGTGAAATTGCTGCTCATTTAGTAAGTACATGTTCCCTTTTTGTAGATTCTTCCAAATAGTTTCTAAAGTGGTTGTACCAGTTTACACTGCTCTCAGTACTGTCTGGATGTACCAGTTCCTCCATATTTTTGCCAACACTTTCATTTTATCCCATTGGAAAGTACCTTTAAACCTTTTATCTCTAGTCCTTTTTATGTTCTTTTTTTATTACTAAAGAATATGTTTGTAACCTTTTCATGAAGTCTAAACAATTTCCTTAATTTCCTGCTACTGTTGTCTAGTACCTAGCACACTTAAAACTTCTCTCATTCATCCTTTACATAGAGCTCTGTCACTATTTTCCAGTACTTCCCTGAACAAGCTGAAACCCTCCATTTATTGTTCATAACAACAGTTCCTTTCATTTACTTGTCTGACAGAAAAAATACAATTCTTATATTTTTCTCTTACTTCTTTCTCCCTTACACTTTACAACCTCTGTCAAATTAACTTACACTTTTATATAGTCCAGATTGATGACATTTTTACTCTGTAACCATAGCTAAGACTAGAATTCCCCCTTTTGTCTGTATATCTGTTGTAGAATCTGAAATCACTATTAAAAATTCACTTTTAATGACCATTATATTATGAATGCCCTGTAACCAAAGATCACAAGGACACATTGGATCAGAACAAAGCTGAGTTTATTGACTTGTTGTAACAAGGGAGACTGCACATTCTGGGAAAGCTTTGGTCACCTTAGTAATAGCTCCTTAAAAAAGTATAAGGCTTGGGGCGCCTGGGTGGCGCAGTCGGTTAAGCGTCCGACTTCAGCCAGGTCACGATCTCGCGGTCCGTGAGTTCGATCAGGTCACGATCTCGCGGTCCGTGAGTTCGAGCCCCGCGTCAGGCTCTGGGCTGATGGCTCAGAGCCTGGAGCCTGTTTCCGATTCTGTGTCTCCCTCTCTCTCTGCCCCTCCCCCATTCATGCTCTGTCTCTCTCTGTCCCAAAAAATAAATAAACGTTGAAAAAAAAAATTAAAAAAAAAAAAAGTATAAGGCTTGTGTTTGGTAGTTTTGCATAGGGCTCAAGGAAGTAGCCCTGGACTGGATGCTTCCAGTGAATGGGAGTAATTCTATTATAGGGTATCTTATTGAATTGTATTCAGGAAATGAGAAGAACAAAGGAAGATTAAAATGTAATTGTTTTTTTAAAAACCAGCATTCAATTGTAATCAGCCAGGACAGAGTACTCTGGGCGTTGTTTTGGTTTATACAATGTTCTTGTTTTTGACTGTGCTCAAGCATGATCATGATGTCATCTTATTGCAGTTTTGTTCCATCTGATCACAATCCCTCTTTAATGATGTTGTTCTGTGAAGTTGTTTATATTCAACAGGAGATCATGGCCTATTTGTGAGTGCCACGCCAATTCCTATGTATAAGAGACTGATTTTCTCAAAATATTCATTGCACTATAAAATTCCTAGAAGAAAGCATAGGAGAAAAGCTTCATGACATTGAATTTGGTGGTGATTTCTTGGCTTTCACACCAAAACACATGGAACAAAGCGAAAATAGACCAATGAGACTACATCAAACTTAAAAAATTTTGTGCACCAAAGAACACCATCAACAGTGAAAAGGCAACCTATGGAATGGGAGAAAATATTTGCAAATACTATATCTGATATGGGTTTAATGTCCATAATATTTAAGAACTCCTACAACCCAACAAAAACAAAAAAAATCAAATAACCTGATTAAAAAATGAGCAAAGGACTTAGATATTTCTCCAGAGATGATATGCAGATGACCAACAAACATATGAAAAAATGTTCAACATCACTAATCATCAGAGAAATGGAAATCCAAACCACAATGTAGTGTCACCCTACACACATTAGGATGACTGCTATCAGAAAAAAAACAAAAACAAAAACAGAAAATAGCAAGTGTTCAAAAGGATGTGGAGAAACTATTCCCTCCGTGCACTGTTGGTGAGATTGTAGAATGGTGCAACTGCTATAAAAACAGTATGAAGTCTTCTCAAAAAAGTGTAAAAGAGAACTTCTATATGATCTGGCAATCCCATATCTGGGTATATACCTAAAGGAATTGAAAGCAGGGTCTCAAAGATACTTGTGCACCCATGTTCATAGCAGCAGTATTCACAACTGGCCAGAGGTGGAACCAACCCAAATACCCATGTATGGAATCTTAAAAAAGGAAGGGAAGCCTATCACATGCTACAACGTGGATGAACTTTGAGGGCATTATTCTAAGTGAAAGAAGATAGTCACAAAAAGGCAAATACAGTATGATTCCACTTATATGATGTATCCAAGTTTGTTAAATTCATACAAACAGAAAGTAGAATGGTGCCTACCAGGGACTGGGCGAGGAGGAAAAGGAGAGTTTTTGTTTGATGGGTATAGAGTTTCAGATTTGCAAAATGGAAACGTTCTGGAGATCTGCTTCCCAACAATGTGAATGTACTTAACACTATGGAACTGTATACCTAAAAATGGTTATGATGGTAAATTTTGTGTTACATTTTTTAACCGCAGTAAAATACATTGCTCATTGCAGAGCCATATTACTTAAGGACTGTATTTTCTGCTCCTTTGATCTACTGTTGTGTTTCCTGTCCCATTGAAAATACAGTGTTCCGGGGCGCCTGGGTGGCGCAGTCGGTTAAGCGTCCGACTTCAGCCAGGTCACGATCTCGCGGTCCGTGGGTTTGAGCCCCGCGTCAGGCTCTGGGCTGATGGCTCGGAGCCTGGAGCCTGTTTCCGATTCTGTGTCTCCCTCTCTCTCTGCCCCTCGCCCGTTCATGCTCTGTCTCTCTCTGTCCCAAAAATAAATAAACGTTGAAAAAAAATTAAAAAAAAAAAAAAGAAAATACAGTGTTCCTAGAATCAAGATAAAATAAATTCACCATTTTATTTTATTTTACTTTACTTTAGGTTACTTTTTCTTTTTTAGAGAGAGAGCACACAAGTGGGGGACAGAGGCACGGGGTGGGGGCGGGAATCCCAAGCAGGCTCCATGCTTAGCACAGAGCCTGATGTGGGACTTGATCCCACAACCCTCGGATCATGACCTGAACAGAAATCAAGAGTCAGATTTAGCCAACTGAGCCACCCAGGTGCTACAGATTCACCATTTTAGACTCCATCAGTTGGGCTTTACCATATCTTCAAATATTTCTAAATAATTCAGGTTCCCATAACTCTTACCTGAAGCTCTCTTTCTGCTTCTGTCTGGACTAAATGATCTCTAAATGTGTACAAAACTATCATCTTGTTTTTATACCTCTCCTAGTTAAGCCCATTGTTTGATAGATTACTTATCTCCTTTTTTTTTTAAATTTTTTTTTCAACGTTTATTATTTTTGGGACAGAGAGAGACAGAGCATGAACGGGGGAAGGGCAGAGAGAGAGAGAGAGAGACACAGAATCGGAAACAGGCTCCAGGCTCTGAGCCATCAGCCCAGAGCCTGACGCGGGGCTCGAACTCACGGACTGCGAGATCGTGACCTGGCTGAAGTCGGACGCTTAACGGACTGCGCCACCCAGGCGCCCACTTATCTCCTATTTTTAAAGCCCTCTCTGTGCTACAGTATATCCTCAAGTGGATTCCTAAGAGAGGGCACATGAAAAATAAACTCTGTCTCTGCATGTCTGAAAATGCATTTAGTTTTCTTTTACACTTCATTGATGTGCTATATAGTATGTATGTCATGTAATGTCCTAAAAATTCTAAAAATTCCTGCCTTTTCATATCTGGGATCATTTCATCTCTACTATTATTTCCTTAATAACTGTATTCCTAACTTTATTTTTTTCTGAGCCTTGTGTTTTGTCAGTTATTGAACATTCTCAATAATACCTCTAGTTTCTGATATTTCTCCTTTATTTTACATCTTTGGTTTTTCCTCTCCATCCTCTTTTAAAGTGAGTCCCTCACGTTATTTTGAGCATTTCTGTTTCTTCCCCTAGGAGAAGTGTTGA